TATTTATATAATTAAGAATGGAAAATAAATTAATTACGAAACAAATTCCGTCGCTCCCTCTTCTGATCTAGTATCTCACCCAACTTTTTGGATAGATCTGACCGTAAACCTTTAGATATTCCGTACGCAAAGGAATTCGAATGTTGTCCCTTCCAATCTTTCCACCAAGGACGAGTATTCCAGCTGTCAATAATCCAACCGTCGAAACGATTACTCCATTTCTAATAATACGCTGTCGTTTTCTCGCAGCTTCCGATACGACTGGCGGTTTTTCTCCATTCTTGAATAAAACACTCTTCAAAATTCTGAATACGGCGGGTGCACCGCTAACAGCGTGAAACACTCCCAACGTGACCAGAGCTGTCAATGCAAGATACGTTGAACGAGGCCATTTCTTAAGAGCAAGTGTAATATATGTTGCATTGATCAAAGAAGAGTCGCCGAAGTGACGCCTTGGAAGCGCGCGGGAAATAAATGCGTGAGTCAAAACAAGTGGGATTAAAATATACCCTGCCTCACGATGATAAGGAAGTATTAGTCCTATTGCCCTTGATATGTGAGATTCAGTGGTGGTTGTGGTGATTCTCGTTGTAATTTTTTGGCGAACAACTTTACCCTCGTCGTTAGTTTCGTCCGTGATGATCTTTTCAACCTTTTCATGAACATCCCCTGTTAACTTCCGGTAATCCCGCGCTTTGCGTTTCCAATACATTCTGATTATACCTTTAGCTATCCCTGCAAGTACATGTCCCCAAAGAGAGCCAAACACGACAACAGGTTCTAAAAACTTATTTTGATAATACACTCTTCCAAGGACAATCGTTTTATTGGTGAGTTCGATACCACCAACAGTAGCCAAGGCGGTTGCGCTCAAGTGAGTAACCAGAAAAGTCGTAAAAACGACCGCAGTCCCCGCCTGGAAAGTGGTGAGATGACAGTAAAACCATGGGGCTGAAAATGCGGGACGGATTTTACCGTTTCCGTTGGTAGGTTTCGAGAGCGACATATTCAAATTAAAGAGTGTGTAGTGTGTGTTAAACGAATGCAGTTTGAATTTTGTTGTACCATTTTTATTTTATTATATGTCAGCTACGAAACTTCCCGATAATTCCGATTTCAAATCCTATCACACGTATACAGCTCGTGATTATCTGGAATCTAAATCTGGAATGCCGATCTTGTGAGTCCGACCTG